TCTTCTTCTTCTTCTTCTTCTTATTATTATTATTATTATTATTATTATTATTTTTATTCTGAATTGCCTGTTGAAAATTGTCCTTTCACTTCTGTCAGTATTATGTATCCAAGTAATAGCTTAAGCTTCCTTCGTATAGCCAGAGCATGGCTCGCTAACAGAACCAAATGGACTAAAAGTACTTTACTCCTAAGTTCTTACTTTTCGACCCATAACCTAGAGGTTTGTTTGACGTATCCACCATTATTGGAAACGCTTTACATGCATGTAAAGATAGTAGCAGGTGGAATTCGTTATTAGAATACCACCTTAGTAGACAGCAGCTTTACTTTCAGCAATTTCTTACCCCAGTAAAGTTTAAGAAATTAAAAGTGCATGCACCCCAATGGCTTAATCACGCTGGCTACAAAGTAAATCGTTACAATAACATGCACGAATCGGTTGACACACCGCTCAAGGGGTGTGTCATGAAAACTGTCACCAGAGACTAGTAGATAACTGACCGCTCGAAATCGTATTGTCTACTCTGTAGATTGAACCAAAGAGGACACGCTCGTTAATTGTGAACATAATCACTAACCCTTTATAGTCGATCATGGAACCAATTTCTTTGATTTGGATGACTTCAAGCAATGTCCTGTTAACTGTAAATATATATGATTTTTAGTATGATAATGCTGAGGGTTCAAGAGGCATCCTATAAAAGTAATACATGAAAAAATTATTTGATTTTACTTTTTACTTTATACTGGTTGTGCTACAATTATATTCATACACGCGCACCAACTCGTGTCTTTCTAAAATGCTTTTGTTCATGTGCTTACGAGCATTTTGGTTTTAATTCCATGGAAAACGCTTTCATTTCGTCTCATTCTCTTTTCGAAGGGCCAGCTCAATTCTGCTTAACTATAGATCAGTATTCAAAGTTTGAGGCTGAGCTACGGCCCACTATGTTCTTTAACATCGTGAACAATTGCTGACGTCCTACATTTAAGTAATTAAGTTGGTTTATGGATTCTACACTTACGGCTAAAGAAGGCATAAAAACTTGGGGGAAAGTTTGCTTGAAAGAGCCAAAGGAGAAGAGGCGGAAGCTATTCGCGCTTCGTCTCAAAATGCATGCACTTTTGCCCACCAGGTTGACCATGTCCATCGCGTGCTTCCCAGCACGCTGGAAGCAAACGTGCTGACGTGCGAGTAAATTAGTTATAAGAAATCTTAGATTTACGCTGTATCTACCATAGTCTCTCCTCCCTCATCCACCTGTGCTCGCCATCAAAACAGAGTCAAGAATAGTGAAGACAATATCGGGCACAGGTAGCCGGTGCAACATAAGCCTGTATTTACGCGTATCACCTCGCCCCCCATGTTCGGCATTTGTTTTGGGAGAGCAAGCCTAATAAGGCCTGCCATGCCCCCATGTTGGTCCGCCGTAGCTATCACGTGGCCCGTTTATGGGGCACACCACCACATCTGCATGGACGTATAAGTGGTCGTGTCTTCGTGAACTCGTCCTCAGTATCCTATCCGCTCACCAGGTTTTTCAACGTCAGAATTAGCGTCTCACATAAAGAAGTAGATCATATTTAAGTACGATCTGTCAGTACGAGCTCATTGGACATAATCTCTCCCATTATGGAAGTGTTCAGCGAATGCTTCTTCCCAGGTTTTATTGCACTCCATTGGGACGGGGTACGGTGAACGCATACGGGGACGTTTATCATTGACGGCAGTTCTGTGCTGGGTGGAAATGCAGCCCATTTAGATTTTAGGCATACACTGAAGGCAACACAAATTTACCATGTAAACCTTGTTGAGAAAAATGTGTTATTGGCAGAAGAGGATTCCTTCGGTACCGAGAGCCAATTTTCTCGAACTAAAAATGTTAAATGTATGCAAGGCACAGAGGTGTGACATGTCCACTTTAGTTCATGCAGAAGCTGTTCTATTTGAGAAATCGCGGGCAGCTAAACATACAATAGACTGATAGACTTTGCGTGATTCTAACTGCGAATCGATATCTTTTCTTTACGCTCCAGCCGAAATCAGGTAATTCCCAGTATCGCAACACTAGCACAGTTAACAACAATGTTATAACCATTATTATTGTCTACGCTACTAGTATTAGCAGCGACAAATTCAAGGGAGACGCGAATAACTATTGCTGGCTAATTCGCGGTCATCATCCGGCCATACCCGACCCCGGGTGTTGCGGCACGCGAGGTCGGAATCCGCGACGTGTTGGTTAGACTTCTAATGCTCTAACCACTGGGACACGGGTTCGATGCCTTGCCGGTTTCGATCGGACTCGAGAGTGAGCTCCAAGGCACAAGGAAACGAGAAAGTCCTTTAAACGATCGGTGTGCATCCATCTACCATTGCTATTAGTATTTTCATGTTAATAACTGTAAATATTATCATACTTTTTGCAAGTGTCAAATTTACTAATCGCAGATAGCTTTGGTGTTTTAAGTTTTCGTGTAAACGTATCTTAGACGCAGTCGTCATTATCGGCTAACAGATTCTGTTCTGCAGGGTTACGATTAATTTGAGCGTTTGACAACCACTTATGGAAAAGAAGACAACTCGTTTTATGCTGATGTCTCTGATGATGAATCCGCGACGGATTTCAAAACGTCAAGTCAAGTCAAGTCAAATTTATTAAAGGAAATACAGGCAAACGCCTTTGAACTCCCTCTTGGTACATAGGATTTAAGAATAAAAATATTGTCCCAGCGATCGAGTCGTCTTCTTCTTAATTACTTCTACGGACTCGTATGTTCGCTTGTTTTGGCAACCATCTATCGATTCGATTTTTGTTTGTTGCAAATGGGACGTGACTCAACTATTTCAAAATAAGACTTCCCTGTGTTCCAGTTATATTAATGTCTACTCAAGGGTACAATTAACGTTTCCGGATGAACTGTATTGGGCCTTCTTCTCTAAAACTGAAATGCCAAGACATTAAGGTTAGTTTAAAAGATTTAGTGCAGTCTTGAGAAACTTATAAAACCCGCTATGGTCATTTCGCGTGTAGTAGTGAATGAATTTCAGTTAAGCAAAATTGTCCACGCCCCATTTTGTGCGCAGTTATGTACAAACTAAAGTACATTAGAGACGACGTCGCAAAACAATAGTCTGGCCTCACTGTGGACACAAATGAATTGGAACCATAGAAAGGCGCGAAAAGAAAAATTTTCACACACTATCCTTAATCATATTTTTTTTCTGAGAGGTGCCACAGACAGAATCTTCATGGCAGACCACGCAGTCTACAATCCAATCAGGT